AGGTGGATTTAAATGCACTCACTACTGCCGAGTCCATTCTGATTCACTGCAGACCTCCACTGGACTTGTTTATATCTTTTAAAAAGAGGAAACTACTTAATCTTTTTTCCTCTCTGTGATTGGTGGATCCAAACTGGTAACCTATCAGTTACCCTCATTTAACCTACTAGCCACTAGGGGTTCTTGTTGCTGTTGTGTACTGTCAGGTTAAGAACCAGCTCATAGCTGACCCTCTAGTGGCTTTGCAGAGGCAGTAAATCCCATGGGAAGCAATGGCTCATCTTCGTCCCGCCGAGCAGCTGGAGGATTAGAACCATGTTCTTTTGGGCTGCTAGTGGACCTCCTTACTACTAAGCCACAAGAGCTCTCTACAGGTGGACTTTATTGTAGCAATTTCTCTCTGTGTGTGCGCGCGCGTGTGTGTGCGCATGTGCGCACGTGCGCACATGTGCTCTCCCCGCAAAGCAGTGATTACTAAAGGTGAAACAAGGTAGAAAAACAGTGCTGCTGTAATAGAGGTGGCATGACCATCCATTGGGACACTGAAGGTGGCAGAAATATCTTCTTGATGGAAGTTTTAGGATCATGAATGGACTTGAAAACTAGGAAATATTCCATTGTGAATGAGAAAACAAAACAAAACAATGCTCGAGTTGAGGCCAGTCAATCTTCTGTGCCGTGACTTATAGAGGGTGCTCTTGTGACCTAGGGGGAGGACCTGCATGTCAAACCAAAGGCACACAACCTGGGCCCAGAGGCAGCTCTGGGGCAGAAAGCTGGTGATCTCCTCCTGTGCCGTTCACAGCCTCTGAAAACCCACAGGCAGGTCAGCTATGAGTCACTTCCAACTTGATGGCTCACAACAACAAATGACATAATTTCTCAGACGTAAATGTCAAACAGAGTTGTGTCACCTGGTATTCCATCCTAACTGAGTGCTGGCCAGTTTTCTAGGACAGTAGGAATTCTCCCTGAACCATGAATGAAGGTCAGCTGGGAGGTTGGTACGAGGGTCATTATCAGACTTTCACGGCACCAAGATGGCAGCTACTGGAGTGTCACAGTTTTCACTGAGCTGAGGACTGCAGACACAGAGCCGCCACATCAAGCAATCTCAGACGGTTTGCAGTGAAGGAAGCCTCTAGCAAGCGTGTCTCCAGCCACAACACTCATCCCACAGTGCTCTGCGAGTTCCGATACCTTGAATGGATGTTTCTTTGTTGAACTGCCAACCTTGACTTTGCCTTTTCCTTTCTTCTTATTCTTCTCGTTGAAAAAGCAAAAGGAAGATGAGATAATCATCTTCCCAGTTCACCTTTCAGGACTGAGATGAAGCCAGGAAAGTTTTGCCCAAGTTATCGTAAGTTGGGAACCCTGTGCCATGCTTTGAAAGATGCAGTGAAAGTGCTCCCATGGTTACATTAGAAGAAATAGTGGAAGATCATGTTTTGATCCTTGCAGCTTGTTGAAAAATGGCCTTTTAGAGACGAAAACCAGTTTAGTTAGTGGAAAGGACAGTAGAATAAAGAGTTATTTGGATGTGAAGAAAAATAAAAGGCTTTAGAAGGAACTGAGGGAAAGGATGTAGCAGAGTGAACAGTGAATAAAATATTAGGGAAATAAAAGGAGTGGAGGTGACCATTAGCAACAGTTAAAGTAGAAAAAGATAAATCACTGAGGATTGAGGAGAGAGATGAAAAAGGATGAAAGGAAATATGACTGTCTGAACAAAGAGAGCAGGAAGCCGTGGGCAGAATAAACAATTCCCTGCAACCTGCTGAAAGTTGAGCCCAGAATTGGTTGGATGTAAGTCTAGAGTACGAGCAGATAAACTACGTATGTCAGGCGCAGAGACAACACTTTCAGACAACTTTATAGAACCATGAGGAATGTAGCCGTCAATTGATTGATTGTGCTGTGTTTAGACTGTCTGAAACACAAAAATTCACCATCACTACTAACCCAAAGCTTTAAATATTTCAAAGGTTTCCGTTACATAAAGGAAAAAGCAAGCACCATAAGCAGGGCCCCAGATAATGCTGCTGCTTGGTTTCCCATAACCTCTGCTGTTTCCCGACTACCACCTTACACATGAGTGTTACTGATATACCCAAGAGGATATACCCTGGACATCTGCAATGAGAACTCAGATATCTAAGTGTTTTACAACTTGTGATTTCAATTCACTCTTTTCCATTTTCATTAGATGAAAATGTCTGTTAACATCATCTTCATTCTCAGAGAATCAACCATCCATTAACGCCTTGCACAAAAGACATCAAAATCAAGGGAGGGGAGACTGGTGAATAAGTGGGAGATGGGGACAGAAAAATGTCTTACAGTTTGGGGTGGGTTGCTGGAGAAAGTCATGCAATATTTGGGTATTTACATTTTCTCTTATAAGACCAACAGAATGATATGATTTTTATTCCTACTTTTGTATATTTATATCTTGCAAATACTCTTTGATGGCCATTTTATTGGTTGTAGCACGAATACCACAGTGGATAGTTTTAACAGAAAGAAAATTGTCTCCCCCTACTTTAGAAGATTTAAAGTTCAAATACAGACACCAATTCCAGGGGCAAGCTTTCCTCTTTGGTGGCTTGGGAAGAAGTCCTTGCTCTTTGGCTTCTTGGTCACTGTCAAGTGGCATGGGGTATCTACTCTGTCCGAATTTTCTCTTTTTAGTTCTCGGAATTAACTGGCTTAAAACACACTCTACACTGATACAACCTCTTTACATAATAAAAGGAAGCACAATTCCAAACGAGATTAGAACCCGTACTTTGGGGCACATAATTCATTTCCTAACAGGCCATCTCAGGCTGAAAACTTTTCATTTAGGCACATTAGTCTTATTTATAAGGAGCCTTGGTGGTGCAATGGTTAAGCAATTCACTACTAAACATGAGATAGAGGTTCATATCCACCAGCCTTCCCACAAGAGAAGGACATTTCAATATGCTCTGCAGAGTTCCAGACTTGGAGACTCTATGGGGCAGTTCTACTTTGGCAATAGGGTCGTTATGAGTCAAATTCCTCTTCACCAATGATAGGTTTGTGCTTACATTTCCCTAAAGAAGGGATGTTAGTAGAAATTACACACGTCTCAGTACAAGAAAAGTAGACAACGGATATGCATTGCTTTGAGATGAACTCAGAAGTCTCTAATCCAATCAAGCCTTTGCCTTTTTCACCCAAGTGTCACGCACAGGCATGTCTTTTCACTGAGAGGGGGAGGGTCAGGATTTGCTGACCCAACAGTTCACACTCAAATATAAAAGTGCAAATGCCCTCAATCACTGACTTTTCTGAATGTGCAATCATTGATAAACAACCCAGTCCTGTTATCATTTACTAGCTTGCACAGAACCAACAGCCATAACCCACTTAATTACTTAAGGGATTTAAATGCACTGACACACAGACACACACATACAGACACATGCCAAACTGTGATACTGGAATGTACAGTGTGGTCTAGTTTAAATTAAAAAGATCCCCCAAAGTATGATTGTTTCCAGCTTCTCAGCGGTGAATTAAAAGCTGTTTGGTGTCGTGAAGATTACAGAAGCAATCACATTTATGGGCCTGCTTTGCATACCAACTCTATTAATTTCCATACTCGGGGTGGCTTCCTATTTCCAGGCATGTTAACATAGATGCCTTTTGGGATAATCGCTTGGAAAAAGAGATGAGAGAAGGAAAGTGGGGAGTGGAGAAAGGAGAGAGTGAGTAAAGGCAGAGAAAGGAATGGGCAACGGGAGAGAGGCATCAAAATTATTTTTTAAGCCAAGATTGATGTGAAATGTATTGATTCTGATAAACTGATGAATCAAAATACAAATGAGGGTGGGTCCCTGGCAGCCTGAACCAGGGGTCACAGTCAGGGATCAAATAAGCATCAAATCATCTATTGGAATTCACTGTTTGTGTGACTCCTTAACTTTGTCATTGCAGATCTAGTTACTGAAAAGATTTCCTGGTGTGACAGCACAGAGGTGAGCCTGGATGGTACCTTGGACAGCTCCCTTGGTGTCCAGCATTGCTCTTCATGCCTGCGTTCCTTTCCGCTCCAAATGTGATCTAGTCACACAGAAAAATCCCATCTAGCAGGACTTTTTGCTTTTTTTTAAATGTGCCAGCCACATAGCGCAGGCCTAAAGGAATGTGGCAAGCCTGGGTGGCAAGTGTGAGGCCATTATGGCTAATGTGTAATTACCTTCCTTAAAGGAACCTTCCAGATTTGACCAATTAAATCATTGCTTTCATACCCTTCGTGTTAAGAGACGGTATTGAGAACGTCTAATTAGATGGTTATTTGTCTACCATCAATTTTAAATGCAATTGCACTAAAATTGTGCATGTTATACATTTAACAAAATACCTTTTGCCCTCATAAAGATAAAATAATTCAATATAGGCCACAAACCTGAGAAGCATATATTTTCAGAAAAATCAATTGGAATCACATCACATTTGATTTTAAGCCACAAAATTGCCAATAAAGGATTTTAATATTTCCAAAGATTGTCTCGTTAGCCTGAAGAACAAGAGTTTTGAATTGTTATATCTAGAAACTCCCAGAAGCCACCTTCACCTGGGCACCATTATTTTGATCTAATACCGTATCGGAGAAATTCTGGGTAAGACACCAATCTAGGAAGATGATGGCTTTGTTCTCAGGGGTCTGCCCAAAGAGAATGGATTTCATTTCCTGCGTGGTACTCACACTGGAAGCTGAATGTGAGCCTTTCTGGGGGGAGATGGCAAATGGCTGCCAGTGATAAAAAAACGAAAGAGACACACACGGACCACAATATTCAACCCAAACCTGACAAGGCCCTTATTCAAGACTTTTCACCCTGGGTCAAGCAGCAACATTAGAAAAAAGATCAACAAGCACTTAGGAAATAGCGCATCCCAAGCATGTTCCCAGACATCAGTGAATGAAATGTGAGAGTAAGTCAAAAGTGTTGTCAAGCGACACTGCTTACAGTTTAGAATCGACTGGTCCTCGATGAATTCAGCCGGCTGTTCAATATGGAACACTTTCTGCTGAAATCCAGGGGTGCAATCCAAACCCTCTGCAGATGTTAGCAGCAGCACCTGAGAAAAACCAAGCCGTCAATATTTTAACAGCGACTCGCATGTGTTTGCCCCACTAACTTTTACCAAATCCGCAACTTTTAGAAATGAGCTGAGGTTTTAATTTCATCTCCCAAATGAAGAGGTAAGTTGATGCAGCCTCCGTGGCTGCCAACAAGTCATTCTGGCAGGGAGGCTTGGAGGACGTGCAAATGGGAACAGCTGCTCCAGTCTCCATTAAGTTGCCGTTAAAGAAATAACTTCGTCACATTTTTACACCTGCTAAGATTCACGCCACGGTCTCCATGTGTGAAATTTCATTACAGAAACTGTCAATTTCATGTGATGCCTGGGCTGAAATCAACTTCACTCTCATACATGCAGAGAAGCATTGTCATTTAAGAGGAGGGGGGAAGGACAACTGGAAGTTCCTTCTAAGGAGATGCTAGAGCCCACAAGAACCTCACCACACAATACGGAGGCTTGGGCCACATGTCGTGACTGGACGCCAGCCATGCAGCCAGTCCAAAACAGAAATAATAAGTTTAAGATAAAGTATTCAATGTATCTTGAATTTTGTAGAGAAAAAAGATGACATAGAATAAAAAACAAGTTATCTAATGAAGCATTTCTATATTGACTACATATTGAAAAGTAGATGTCTTATTATAATGATGTTTACTAGTTCCTTTCTACTTCTATAAATTTATAATTGCATCAAAGTTTACAGTTCACTCTTTCAAATCCTTAGGACACTTCACCTAACAGTCTAAAAACTACATTAGGTGAATTGCACCAAAGTATGTGGCCTTCTCCAGGAAAATGGGGAAAATCTCAGTATATGGTAAGAAATGAGGTTTAGTAAGGAAAAAGCAGAAGACAGAGATTATCTGTTTATACCAAGAGCCTACAAGATATCCCAGAAGACAGAAAATATAACAATTTAGCTTAAACATGAAAACTAGTATGGTTTTCAGCTCTTATTGATAACACACAAAAAGCCTGGGTGCTCCAGTGGGCCATGGTTAGAACCTCAACTACTAAGGGAAAGATCGCAGGTCCCCGACCACCAGCTGCTCCAGGGCAGCATGATGTGGCGGGCCCCTCCTGCTCTGGAAACTCTACAAGCCCTTCTGTTCTGCTGTAGTTTCTATGAGTTGGAATTGATGGTAATGGGTTTCATGTAATATACACTGGGTTAAACTTATAGTACATACTAACTCATTTAAGTCCTATGAAATATGTGCTGTTATAAGAAGAATTCGCAAAGGAGAAATCTAAAACTCCAGAGAGTCATAAGATTGCTTAGATCAGACATCCAGCAAGCAAAGAGCCAGCCAGGATTGGAACCCAGGCTTAAGCATTCTTTTATTTGCCACACAGCCACTGTTCTCTCGTGCCCAAGCCTTCCCAGTCAACAGAGGACTTAATAGCTCATTGTCTAAGATCATTCTCTGAAACATGAGGTAGGCCATTTTATTTGATCAAAGTACAGGCTGAACCTGCTTGGTATTAACACCTCCAGGAAGAGTACGGCTGAACCAATACCTTCAGCCCTCACTCCGATCACTACGTCTCCAGTTTCCCTCTGTAGGTGTGTCCCAGGACTGGCACCCCCGATGGAAGCATCATGGGTTGCCTTTCATCAACAGCCTTCTCTTTCCTCATCTCCAGATAGCTTCTGAGAACACCTTCCAAACTGACTACATGCACTTCAAAGTTTAGTTAAGACACGGTTTCTGGGAAAACCAGATTTTGCTACCAGAGCTCACACTTGTAACCATTGAATAAAAGCTGTCAGAGAAAACTCATTATTATCCTCACCAGAGAACTGAAAGAGGCACAAGATTGGATGCTGTGTTACTGGGATGCCTCTGTAAATGCCAAGCCAAAGGTAGACCCAGGGTCCCCGAGGGTTTTCAGACCCTGTCAGTCTTCATGGGGACAGACTGCCTCTTCTTCTGCTCATGGTGGTAGGTTGAAGCCACCAAAGTTTTAGCAGCAATAGGGCCACTAGGGCTCTTTGGGACAAGAATTACAATTAAAATGACTGCTGCTGAGTGGATTTTGACCCATCACGACCCTATGGGACAAGGAGAAATGGGCCTGTCGGGTTCCCAAGGCTGGAACCTTTTCAGAAGCGGGCAGCTGCATCCTTCTCCCATGGAGCAAATGTTCCTGCGTGCTTAACCACTGCACCACCAGAGCTCTTTCTCTAAATACCAGCTCTCTGAAATGCACTGAACCCTAAGAGATGAGAGCACAAATCAATTTCCAAAGGTTTCTGGTGTGGATGGCCTGAGAAACATCAGAGAAATGGAAACGCAGGAGGCACGACCCTCGTTGCCATTGACTTGCTCAAATCAAAGGCACAGGACACAGGAGTTCAGCATCTGTGCAGTGCTGCTTGTAAAACTTCTCCATGGCTCAGAGCAGGCCCTGGTTAGATGACTCGTGAGCCCATCGTCACGCTGACATTCCACGTGGCACATCCCCAGAATACAGACTCGGGACTCACAATCATTTGCTAGAAATTCTGCAAGCAGAAAATTCATAGCTGGCCGAGGCTAATCCAGTTAAACAGCAAATGTCCAAAGGTTGCCTCCAGGCACCCTGGGCCCTAGTTATATCTTCACCTTTTAATTGGCTAGTTCTGCCCTCAAATCTCAGGCCAGTAAGCCATTCATCCCAGAGGCCCTAATGGCAAGGCCGTTTCTCCAGGGATCTGGAGAAAGAGAACCAGGACAGAGGGGGCATGTTTACCTATGCGACTCTGTCTCTACCCTACGGAGAAGCTGAGTTCTGGCTTTCATACTGTCTCTCAGCAGCTCAGCTCAGTCTTCTCCTGATTGCTTAGAAAGGTCTATGCAGGATTCCCTTGGAGTCAGGCAGGAAAAAGAAACTTTTCCAAAACTAAGTCTTTGGGAGGGTGGCAGTAGGAAGGGAAAGAGGGGCTCAGTTTTGTCCTTGCAAATGATTGGGTCTTTTCATCCACCAGTCAAAATTCAGCTAACCGCTTTATGAATGTGAGCTGTGAGGTACCCTCCTGTGTGTGACGTAACTGAGGGAGAAATTAGTCAAACCATTCTCCCACTTCTCTATTTCTCACTCACCCATCCATCTAGCCATTCATATTTAAATCCAAGGGTGCAATGATCCCTTTGCTAAGCATCTCCCTAAAGCTTACACAAAGTCCCAGTGCCATCGAGTGGATTTGGACTTACAATGACCTTGCAGGAGAGGTGCAGGCTTCGTATACAAGCAGACTGTCAGGACTTTCCTCTCAGAGCAGCTGGTGTGTTCAAACCACTGACCTTCGTTAACACGCAAGTACTTTTACCACTGCACCACCATGTTAAGCTTAGAGAAAATCACTGTTATATGGTAACTACAAGAACACATTTTATTGTTTATTTTAAAACAACAACACAAGTCCACAAGTCTGCTGCCTTCAAGTAGATTCCAACTCATGGGGACCCTCCTTGTGTTTCCTGGCCTGTGTCCTAACAGAAGGGGACGGTTCATCCTTCCCTGCCAGAGCTTCTGACAGGTTGGAATTACCTGTGTCCAGTTAGCGGGCCAAAGCAGACCACATTGCGCTACCAGGCCTCCTTAGGATCATTCTACTTGGAAATGCTGACTCTGCTTTCACCGTCTGGCTCCTCCCACCTCAGTCGTCTCATGCAGAGCAATGGGGGGGAGAGAGCTATCATGTGAATTCAATGGAAAAAGGGATATAAAGCAACAGGCATGGTACCATGCACGTAAGTGGTCAGTAAATGTCAGCTCTAATGACTGTCCAGTGCAAGGGAGAGCATTCATAACTTGTTACTAACACATTATCCAAAACGAACTCTTTTCTGGGTGGAAAGGACAAGTTTCTTTGCTGTAAACTGCTATCAAGCCAGGCCCCCGCCGGTGGCCACCCTCCAACACACAGGCATTAACTTCGTGCAGAAAGAGCAGACCTCATATCACCATTCTTTATGCGAGGTTCTCTTCCGCTTCCATGTCTGCACTGCTCTGGAGAACTCTGCTCTTTCTTCTTGTACGTCTCCCTGACAAGCACCAATTCAAGATCATACTCTTCTTCGGAGTTTACTTTCAGAGAAAGTATTTTTTTTTCTCTCCAGATCACAGATGGCCAACTGATACTGTTAGGGGTGGGCATGTTGTTGTTGTTGTTAAGTGCCGTCGAGTCGCAGGCGACTCATAGTGACCGTATGAAGGAGAGGTGGGCATGGGCAGCAGAAAGGTTCATTCAGTCACATGCGCCTCCCGAAAAAATAATGGTGCAACCATTCTGGAAGGCAGTTTGGCGTTTCCTCAAAAAGCTAAACCTAGAAATGGCATATGACCCAGCTATCCCTCTACTTGGAATATACCCTGGGAATTTGAGATCTGAGGCACAATCTGAGATTTGTACACCAATGTTCAAAGCAGCATTAGTCACCATCACAAGAACATGGAAACAGTCCAAATGTCCAAGCACAAATGAATGGACTAAGAAATTATGGCACATTCGCACAATGGAATACTATGAAGCACACAGGAGGGATAACTTTGTATATTATTATCGACTGGAGAGCATTATGCTGAGTGACCTAACTCAGTCCCACAAGGATAAATATTGTATAAGGACCCAGAAGAGGTTGGGAGAGGCCGAAAGCACAGGAATGTGGATGTGCGGGGGTGGAGGGGGATTAATCATTGGTTTGTACAATTTGATAGGGGATGAAGGAAAGTAAAAATATTTGTCCAAATTTATATTCTAGTTTTGTAAATAAACTAGTATGGAAAACAAAACAAAACTGACTTCCTCTGTTTTAGAGTGCGTTGTCTGAGTTGCCCTCTTCTCTGATAGCGCCGTAGCACTACCTCTGTCTTCCTGAAGCGGTCATGCATTTTCCTGACCCTGGGACACCTGCCTGAGGCAACAGGCTCCTGCAGCTTCAAGCACTCCACACTTGGCAGTGTCTGTTTGTTCCAGTGGTGCCCAAGTCCTTGTTCGTCCTGCTCTA